ATTTCTCTTTTCTTGTTTCGTCTTTAAGATTTTTCATTGCTATCGTATTTTATTAAATTTGTTATTTTTTTTCTATATAATGCAGTTTTAAAGTATTTCATAATAATTAATAGATAGTATTTTCTTTAGTAACTTATTACTTATACTTTTCCTTTTTTTTATATATATATATATATATATATATATATTTTTTGTAAATATAAAATCACGCGTTTAAAATTTATTTTTTTGCAACGTAAATAGAAAATTCATTTGAAAAGTGCATCCGTGAATTGGACGATTTATATGTTAGGCTATTGCATCACTTGATTCTATAATTAATATAGTTTTCTTCTTGTTACAGGTGATCGTCGATGGATTTAACAACATTCCTTTTTGATTCTCCTCCATTTGATTGCCTTAAATAACTATTTTATAATTTATATATATAAATGCATTTCTGAAGGCACACACATGCATAATTTAATTTGTGTTTTGTAATAAGAAACTCATGTATAGTTTTTTCTCTTTTTGTTAATACCTCTTTATTAGATTCATTTTAGATTCACATTTGGATTATTTCGATGAGGATACTTATATCACTATCTGTGGGCTGGGATTTTATGGAGAGATTGCATAAGAAGGGACTTTCGATGTGTAATTTTATTTGAATTAAATCTTATTATTGCAGTTAAGTTGTTGCTTTAATCTCAATTGGAAAAATATGAAGAAAAAATCATAAGTAAAGTAGGGGTAACGCTTCAGTGTTACGCTCCTGAGGGTTGTTCGTGTTCGGGCGAATAGTGGGGATGAGTATGTATAAAGTAGGGATGTTGGGGAAGGCATGAACTGCGATGTAACGTCGATATCGCGTTCTATACTGGATGCCGAGACGCTAAGTGGGGATGAACAGGGTATAGGGGAAAGTTTCACATGGCTAAAATAATCGATAACGCGACCGATACGTATGTATGTGTATAAGTAAGTAACTACGTATCTACGTAGCTATGTATATATGTAAACATGTATAAGAATAACTACATAGAAACGATCACGTGGTCATATAAAACCGCTGCGCGCAATACAGACAAACAGATAAATAGAGACAGAAAAAGTCAGAGAAAGAGAGAGAGAGACAGAGAGAATATGAGGCTTTGGAAATATATTCGTACATGTAGGAAACTGTGTAAATATAATTGTATATACGTATACGTATCATCGTTGTAAAATTATCCATCTAATTTATGTGTTAATATGCATGTATATGATCGATGGTAAAAAGAATACACGTGGGAAGTTGAGACCCTCGAGTATATATATATATATATGTATTGAAAATTACTCGTATAAGTTCTTCAACAAAATCATATCATTTATAGAATTAAAAAAATATTAGTATTTTCTATCGGGTATTTTTTAATAGAATTCTTTATTTTATTTAATGAAAATCGAAGCGCAAGAAAGATCTACAGATCGATGCAGGATCGAATTATGGAGTACTAGAACTCTCTTTCTATCTTCTTTTGACTACACCTACCTTTCTCTTTCACTCTATTATGTGTTCGTGTGTGTGTGTTTTTCTCTCCCTTTTCCTCTCGTGGGACGTTCATCGATTTCCAAAGCTTTCGACGAACACTGCGCAAGGCTTTCTCTTTCGCGACACGAGGGTGGAAATTTTTGGAGAAAGAGGTCGAAGAGAGAATCACTTCGATCGATAGAATTGTTTTTCCATGATAAAAAGAAAGAAAAAGATAACAAATAAGAAGAAAGGAAAAAAGAAATAAATTATTTTTATTATATAGTAATAAACTTTTCTCTGTAAGTTGAAAAGTTTATATCATAGAAAATTGAAAGAAAAATATTAGTTTACTATAATAAACATATATATATATATATATATATATATATATATATATATATATATAT